CCATCCATTAACTGAAAACAGGCTAGACTAATCGATTCTTGGGATTTAAGAATCGATATTGTTCCGTAAAAATGAGAATCGATTAATATCGAGATATCTATATTTTTTACCAAGCCCTACGCAGAAGTGAACAGAAATTAATGTTCACGTGCATCTGCATGGCTCTCACTGTGTCTACACTGGACGCGAGCGCCGCGACAAAATACAATGAACCCATTATAATCAGTGATGCTGTCTGTCTACACTGGATGCAGCGCGGCACAACAAATCATGACAGAAAACTGATGCCGCGTTCTCTTTATGACGTACTGACAAACAAAGTTCAAATGATTGGCAACGGTCGCTTTGTCACGTCCAGTGTAGACAGACTTTGGGGCCATTCATGTCGCGCCTAAAAACGCGTGGAAAATGCCAGTCGTGCCGCTTTCTCCTTTTTTCCAAAACGCTCGGGAGCTTGCGCTTTCGTGGCGTCTGCCATTCCTAAGCAACCGTGACCTGCGTTCTCCACGACGACGCAGAAGTTTCAACAAAGGATAAATGGATTTCCAGCACACCAGCACACCAGTATAGGTGTGTGTATTGTAGGAGCTAGACAACGTATGATGACGTGTGACGGCATAGTAGTGGTGTCCCAATTCTTAGGGGACTATTTTCACCCCTACCCCTTGACACTCTGTTTCAAGGGACAAGGGGAGGGGGTAGGCGGAGGGGTAGGGGAAGGGGAAGGGGTATAAAATAGAATTGGGGTTGGGCCTAAGTGCTGTCATTATTTATCGTTTTATCTTAGACTTTACACTTCACAATATAACACGGAAATTGTTAGTGTTTAGTATAAAACGTCTTTAAGATGGTTAGCGATAACTACCACGAAAACCGGTTTACTGTGCGCAGAAGATTACAAGCAGAAATAATTTTGAAGTGACCCTTTGAAAGTCATTGAATATTTGTCGCACAGAATTTTACATTTTGGGTGAACGATCCCTATCATCCCTTTATCGTTCGGTGGCATATTTGGCAACGATTTTAAATAGGATATGTTAAATCGGACTGCGTAAACAACAACCCCAGAACGCAACATGTGGGCCACTAAGCCTCTAACAAATTGAATCGCCCACTTTTTCGCACTAGACTCATCCGGCTGTCACTGAGCATTATGAGTGACATAAATTGTTACGGTTCTCGTCAACTGACGCGTCTGGCGCGAGAAAAGCGTTACACTTTATTACGGCCATCGAGATCACGCGCTATTACGAGAAATGCTTTCCACTACGGTAATACTTGGCAAAAGCTGCCATTCCCTCTCGGTGTGTCGTGTCATAGCAGCTCTTTACCTTTAGAAACGATAATTTAGAGCTGGTCCAGATTAGGCAAGCGATTAAAGAGAGATTACACAGCAAAGGATCACTCGATCCTAGTGGAAAATAAATTCCCTTAGTCCACAGTGGGCGGTTATAAGAGACCTATAGAGGACTAATAGACGTCAAAATACACGAAATGTGTTCTTAGAGAGGCCCGGGAGAAGTAAAGATCAACAGCTCCGTTGAGTCGAACTCACCGTGTTGTTATTTTTTCCAATGAAGACTTGTAGCTCGTCCGATCCTGAGCAGAGGCGATCCGACGCGATCCCGATCCAGGCCAAAACAACACGCCTCTCCTGACAATCCCGCAGTCGCGTAATATATCTCCGTCAGAAGAGTGTAACTGTGTTGTGATGGGGTTGGTGTTTTGGCCGCGTATACCGAGCTGGAGACGTGCGCGTCAGTGGGAGGATTTAAAGCGGTCGGACCTGCGAGAAGAAACTGAAAGGGAAGGGATACCGTCTTGTCCCACTGCTCGTGACGTAGTACACAACGCCCCGCCCCTCTTCGAGGTCCAACCAGAATGTAACACTGGATTAATCTGTATATAAGTGTATTAAATTATCCGTCTACATTAAATATATTGAATATATGGGCTTGGTTGCTCTAGTGATACATTACCTGTTTTCACATTCAAATGAGCTAATATGAAGTGGTTAATTTACATTTACATTTACACTACAATTAATCCAAAATGCCGCTGCAAGATTAATCTTTAATGAGGCGAAAAGAACGCATGTCACACCTCTTTTCATCAATTCGCACTGGCTACCAGTAGCTGCTCGCATTAAATTCAAGGCATTAATGTTTGCCTACAAAACCACCACTGGCTCTTATTTTATATCAAAAAAATCTTATATCAAAACCATATATTTAATTTAAACGAATTCAATCAATGAAAGTGGGCTACTTGACCAAATTAGGTGACACATTTTATATGGCTATAAAAAAAAATTCTACAACTATGGAACTGGTATGAAGGATACTGAGGATGTATCCAAGACCACTATTATTTTGTTATGACACAGTAATTAATCAAAGTAACATACATACTTATTTAGGCCTACTACAACCAAAATCAACTCATACATAGTACAGAAACATTTAAGTATTGATAATATTGTGAAATAATTTATGGAATTTCTACTTGTTTTCGTTTTTTAAATCTTGACTTTCTTCATCCATGGTTAAAAACGGTCACTTTGGTACCGAATTTACGTCACTTAAAGATTAAATTTGTAGATTAAATTTTTCTAGTATTCAGAGCATAGAAGATATGAATTTCCATGACCTGTCTCTAGACCTAGAAATAACACAATTCTGTTAATTCTGTAAATTTATTATTTCATTTATTTTACTATTTGTCAGGACCAGAGCAACCATTACAAATGCAGAGACAGAGAAAGCAGAATACCAGGGAAAGCTACTATTTGGCCAACATCTCCGAGGTCCTCAGTGTAAACATCCGCAAACATCAGCCTGCGAGCAAAGTCTCATTGAAATGAGTCACCTTTCAGTTGCGCAAAAGGAGAGGAGACACCGAGCAACGCACCCCAAGACACAAACATGGTCAAACAAGTGGTAACAACCATATGCTTTGTTCTTTTTCATTGCATTATAAGTTACTGGGCGTTTATGTCCTCTTGTAGCATCCACTCATCCCCAAAAATCAGCATTATTCCAGCGATCGCCAGGTATTTTGGTACCAAAGGTCGCTATGAAGATGTCAACACGTACTTAATCGACGATCTTTTGGTCACAAACAACTCCCTTGTGACGCTGCCTTCCTCGAAATGCAGCGAAATTCATTTGACAGCTATAATCCGGCATGGGACGAGGTACCCGACCAGTAAAAACATTCAGAAGATGCGCGAATTTTATGATCTCGTCGTGCGTGATGCGACCGGCAACTTAAACTGTTTGTCAGAGATAAAGTCGCAGTGGAAGATGTGGTACACGGATGATATGGACGGGCGACTGGTGGACAAGGGCCGTGCGGATCACAGGCACCTAGCGCAGAGACTCATCAAATGGTTCCCTTCTTTGCTGACCGAGGACAATGTGCGTAACGGACGCGTGAAACTGATCACCAGCTCCAAGCACAGGTGTGTGAACAGTACCATCGCTTTCAGAGAGGGACTAATGAAAGGACTCAGCATAAAAGGTAATGCTTGAGGACCAGCCCTGCAGTTACCTCAAGCACTGAATCATCTGCATGCCCTACTGTTAAATCACTGTTTTCCAGCATGAACATATGCTTAATTTAGCCCTAGTCTATAATCTTGGTTCTTCGTACAAAATTTGCAATAGGCCTAGTACTCATTGTTTCTTCTCAACAGCTGTGAGATTCAGTGAAGAGAAAATGGAGACTTGCACTTTTCAGTTCTATCAAGTGCCTGTTTCAATTCTCATATAAAAATTTAAAAAATATCTAATTCAGTTGTATTTCATTGACAGGGGCTTCAGTGAAGAGCAAATGGAGACTTTTGCTTTAGTCTTCTCCAGATTTTTCCTTTGAAAAAGGCCACAGTAATGTGTCTCCTGACTGATATATCAATATTCACAGAAATCATTATTGTCTTATCACCTACACTTTGCTCTACACCAGGGGTGCCCAAACTCGGTCCTGGAGGGCCGGTGTCCTGCAGAGTTGAGCTCCAACCCCAATTATTAGACACACCTGAACCAGCTAATCAAGCTCTTACTAGTCATACTAGAAACTTCCAGGCAGGTGTGTTGAGGCAAGTTGGAGCTAAACCCTCCAGGACCGAGTTTGGGCACCCCTGCTCTACACTAATGCGTATTCAATGATGTGATACCTGTTTATGCATTACACATAATTTTAAAGTCATATGGTTGCCAATTGTTGAATTACACATATTTGATCGAATACACTCTAAGGAGGCACAAACACATATTAAATAGATTTTAGGGTATCTGAAAACTTAAATATGCTTATGTGGACCTTCAACAGTTGGTTGTGTTTGTTGCCTTGATGAGCACACATAAAGTATATACTTACAATTCCCACACAAGCAAAGAAACTTGTAGCTAAATGGACAGACAAACACAGAAAACACGTCCACAAAAGCAAATCTATTTTGATCAATTAGTGTTTTGATCAACCCAATTTTTATTAGAAATCTATGCTGAATTTAACTTCCCCAACTGATAAAATAAGATTACAAAGCAGCATAAAGTCTGGTTTTAAGAGTTGTAGTGCCAGCGTTGTAAATTTGTAATGTCAATTCATCATGTTTTATTTTTTAAATGTATTTATTTGTTTCATTTTCTAGTTGAGTTGGAACCTGCTGTTAATGACGCTTTAATGCGTTACTTTGACCAGTGCGAACGGTTTGTGAAAGAAGTGGAGAACAACAAGAGCGCCTTGGAGGAAGTGAAACGTTTTAATGAAGGCCCTGAGATGAAAAGAGTAATGGAGAAAATGGCTGACAGGCTGGAGGTCCCTTACGCCAGCATCACCGATGGTCAGTGATGACTTAATATGATCATGACCTTTTTACTCAGTCACAAATGCTGAAATAAAGCAGTGTCCAAAATGTCGCTGTGCAGTTTAGAAATGTGATAATGGTTTGTTTGTCACGCCCCCTTACCATTACGGGTGGTTGCATGTTCCTGGGGGCAGGGTTTCTGTAAACATCGGGGTTAGTGATGTCACAAACCTGGGAAGAAGTGTGTTGTAGTACCTACCTGTCTTTTTTTGTAGTCCTTAACAGCGATTACTTTAAAAGAAAATATCTCCCTTTGCATTGAACTTTGAGTGTCGTAACTTTGCAGACCACTTCAATTTGATATGTTGGTTTTGTTTTATGGAAAGAGCTGTTGTACTACCACCAATTTCAGAAAATATGTGGCAAATTCAGTTCCCTCTAAATGTAATGTCCTTGCAACCACAACCACAAAACTCTGCACATCCGAATATTATTACACACACTTCCTTCCCGATTGCATGTGAGACTGATATGTAAAATAAGCATTTTTAGATGAGAACCTAAAGACAGAAACATAGGCTAATTTTTCTAGTAACTACCATTGTTTGCCTTTTCAAATATTTCTGTGCAGTGAGGATGCATGTAAAGCATCATTCAAATTGGATTAGAAATTCTTGAGGTTATTTATAAATATATAAAAAAATAAATCTACAAACTAAAATGGTTGGAAATCTAAAAGATTAAGAGATTCCAAGTCCGTAACTCGAATTGGTTGACCGGGCTGGGCTTCCAAAGTTCAAAATTTTACATATGCATTGCAACCACAGCACTAATATGTCCCATAGGTTAGATAAGTTAGAAGTTTTCAGCAAACAGACACACATTGATTTGATTTTTTTTATTTTGAATTCCAGCACCTTTTCTGTTTGACCTGTTGAAATATGTATGCTTATGAGGTTAAAATACTTCTCCTATTTTGCACTTACATTTTCTTCTTGAATAAAAAAATAGTGGGACAGTATCCATATCATTTCAGTTTATTTTGGTGAAATAGATTGAAGCACTGGGTTTCCATATGAAATACTTCAGTTTATTTTGACAGTTTGCTGTAGCTTTTACTCTCAAAAATAGAATTAAGATGGGAACATTTGGGAATGAGAAGCACAAAAGCAAGAAAACCATTCCACAGTTGATGAAGCAGGATTTACTTAGAGAGTTTAGAGGTCAGGGCTGCTCACTTGATCTGCTGCTGTCAGCAGTTGTATATCAATGCACAAACAGTGAGTGAGAGATAGAGAGAGCGGGAAAGAATTTAGCATATTGTAGCTACTGCAGTCTTTAGTATGACCATTAGATGGCAGTGTTTATTGTTTTTAATAACTTAGTGAAAGTGCAAAAATATTAGATTGTCATATACACAAACACATTTTTATCAAATATCCAGACATAACAAAGAATTAACATTGCATAAAGAAATGTACAATTTACTGTCTAATTTGGTCTACTGTCTAATGCGTTAGCAAATGACACATTGTTTTGCTTTACAGATTCAGTGGAAGCAGCTTTCTTCCTGTGTGCATATGAGTTTACTATCCATGATCTGAACTCACCCTGGTGCCAGTTGTTTGACAAGGTAGATGCACAGGTACTGGAACAGCGCAGTTCTTCTGTTTGCCTATCTTTACTTTTCCTGGGAGGTTTTATTTAAGAAATAAAACATTTCCTACATATAGTATATATACAGTGGGTACGGAAAGTATTCAGACCCCCTTCAATTTTTCAAATGGCTGCAATATAACAAAGAGTGAAAAATTTAAGGGGGTCTGAATACTTTCCGTACCCACTGTATATACTTATATATAGTATATATATAAAAATTTAGGGGCACAATGCAAATTTTTCAAATGATGTGTTTTAGCTTAATAAGGGGATATAAGGAGACCTTTACAAACACGATTATTTAATTTATCTGAATACAGAAAGTACACAAGGTTTTTATATAATTTTGCTTCAGACTCTATTTAATAGGCTGATTATGTAATTATTAATAATCCTATTTTATGTACATTAGGTATGTGATGGTATCAAATTTTCATAATAGTCGTTGAAGCTTTTATCACGGTATATGGTTTTATCACAATATATAATTTAGTAAGTAAAAAAAAGTGTTCTCCTCCTAACAGGTTAAATAACTTTATTAAAGATATTTTACTAAAGAAATACTTTATTTAAAAAAATACACAAAAATATTAAGTAAACAAGTGTTTCAAGATTAGAGTACAAAAGATTAAAGTTCAAATGAACGAAATAATAATAGGTAACTCTTTACAATAAGGTCCCATTAGTTAACTTTATTTAAAGATGGTTAACATTAACTAACAATGTGCAATAGATAACTGTTATAGTTGTGAATATTATTTGTTAACGTTGATTAATAAAAATACAACTATTTATTGTTAGTTCATTTTAACGCCATTAAATAATATTAGCAGACACAACTTTTGATTTTATATTGTATTATTAAAAGTTGAAATTAACATGATTTGAAATTAATTAATGCAGTCATTGTTATTTCATGTTAACTAATGTAGTTAAATAATGTTAATGGAACCTGTTAAGTGTTACCGAACAATAATAACGATTCAGTCAATATATAGGTAGCTAGGCCGTGTTTTAGGTTAGATTAAAATACAATAAAAAAAGTTTACGTTTGAAAATAAATAGCTTAAGTCTTTAAGTATTAATTATTTGGTGCAATGGTGAAGACTAAAGCGAATATAAATATCTAAATGGCTGTTTGAAACAGAAAACAGCCTAGCTGCTTTGTTTACAGGGTTGCCTGGGTAACGGCTGCATTTCTGCCTCCGTCAGCGCCCTCTAGTGCCGAATGTGCGCTTTCATTCAGCACGTCTCCTTCATTCGTTCCGCCTTCTCATCTGTGCTTAATCAACGCCTTTTTTAAAGTTCAATAATCATATGAGGCTGAATCGCTGTTTATCCATAAGTAATTTGAAGAAATTACCGTGTAAGTTGCTCCTAAATACATTTTCCAGTTCGCACACATCTATTTTTAGTCGCAAATGTGAGTGAAGTGCTCTCTCTGCCGAGCCCTATAACTTAAGAATTAATAAATGAATGAGAAGTGACAGTAAACACCTTTACTTTTATACAAAAAAAATCCTATTTCTAAAAAAAAACCCTATAATTAATGCTGTGCTGAACTTTCTATTCATCACGTTTTCCACAAAAATATTAAGCAACACAACAGTTTTCAGCATTGATAATAATATGAAATGTTTATTGAGCACCAAAGCAGCATTTTAGAATGATTTCTGAGGATCATTTGACACTGATGACTGGAGTAGTGGCAGCTGAAAATTCAGCTTTGCCATCACAAGAATAAAATATAAAACAGTTATTTTAAATTGTAATAATATTTCACAGTATTACTGTTTCACTGTATTTTTGAGCAAATAAATGCAGCCTTGGTAAGCATAAGAGACTACATTTAAAAAAATGTTTTTTTTAATCTTACCAACCCCAAACCTTTGAATGGTAGTGTATGTTTTGAGAAAAAAACTTTTATTTTTAGACCAATTTAGATTTTAAATTCAGAATGCTACTCTAATAATGACAATGTCTTTCTGAATATTGTTGCACACCGGTGAGAGGTCATATGTACCAGTACCTGTAGATGTTTGAAAGCACTGTGTTCTGTCTTTTAAGGTGATGGAGTATGCTGGTGACCTGAAACAGTACTGGAAGCGAAGCTATGGGCATGATATCAACAGCAAGTCTAGCTGCATCCTCTTCCATGATCTTTTCCATCGTCTTGACCAAGTTGTAGCCCAGATCAAGTAAGAGCAGTGACGTCTCTCTTGTCTTTATATAGTGCATATAAGAAAAATCTAATACAATTTCTATTTTATTCAAAAATCCATCTACATCTATTTGCCATTGTGCTGTTGTTTCTTAAAGGGATAGTTCACCCAAAAATGATTTGATGTTTATCTGCTTACCCCCAGGGCATCCAAGATGCCTCTTCAGATGTTTCTTCAGTAGAACACAAACGGAGATTTTTAACTCCAGCTGTTGCAGTCTATCAGTCGTATAATACATGGCAATGGTAACAAAATCTATGAGAGTAAAAAAAACATGCACAGACAAATCCAAATTAAACCCTGCGGCTCGTGACGACACATTGATGTCCTAAGACACGAAACGACCAAATTGTGCGAGAAACCGAACAGTATTTATATCATATTTTACCTCTAATACACCACTATGTCCAACTGCTTTGAGCGCGTGCACGGCATCCAGTGCGTGAGGTGTGTACGCACTCCGGCGTAGTTTACGCAAGCGCCGGAAGTGATCTCTCGCGCGTATACATCACTCATTGTTTACACAGTGCACAGTCATTGTAG